TCCCACAGTTACATGGAAACCACAGTGAAGAGGCAAGGAAGACAGTAACATCCAAGTACCACCAAAGGATAAGACAGGTCCTGAAGAGTCAGCTCAATGGGAAGAGCAAGATCCATGCCATCAACATGTACGCCCTGGCAGTCATCAGATACCCTGCCGGTATAGTGAGCTGGCCAAAGGAGGACATGGAAGCTGCTGATGTGAAGACCCAGAAGCTCCTCACAATGCACAGAGGTTTCCACCCAGGTCTAATGCCCAGAGATTGTACACCAGTTTAAAGAGGGTGGGCAGGGCCTGATGAGTGTCAAAGCCACTTTTCTCGATGAAACCTGGAGCATCCAGGAGTACATCACTAAGATGGCATCCAAAGATGAGCTGCTGAGACAATACCTGAGGCAGTAGCAGACATGGGAGGAAGTTCAAGCAGAGAAAAACTGACCAACAGGTTTCTACAAAACAAGCAATGCCATTCTCTGAATTTTAGTTACAAATCTGTCAGAAAAGTTCAAATGCATGCAATATGAATTCCATTTAGAATAGAAAACAAACTGAGGTATTTTTTTTAAATAATTGATTACAAATTGAAATATAGTGAACTCTACTTTGGATGCAATATTAAGCACAGTTACCTAGGTGTAAGCTGAGTTGAATATAATTGGATTGACATTCAAATAAACATATGGAATGTCACTGTACATTTCCCCCCCGTTTCAGTATAGTTCTCTATGTATGTAATGATTCCTTTTTGTGATCTATAGATATCACTGTTCCTGTCTCCTACCTCTGACTTCTGCTGTGGTGACTCATTTGTGATCATAATGTTGTTCCAATAAGACAGTTATGCAAGTTTGAGATTAACAGCAGATATCAGTTTGGTGAAGAAGATATTTTGTTTGTTAGATGCACACACCCACTAGATGCTTCAGTTTGAGGAATGATTCAGTCTGGAAAGTATCAGAATTTCTCCTTGGATTTAGGGTTCCTTCAGAAGTAAAATGTATGCCTTCCATTACTTAGAATGGGAAAACCAAAAATGACTGCATTTGCTTTTTTAAAAGAATAAGATGAAATTTGCAGGAACATAGAAGAATACAGGATAATAAAGAGAACTGGGAAAGAGGACTTAAGAGGAAGAATCCATATGATGATGACGTTTTGGCCTAGAATACTACATTTCAGACACATAGTTTTGGAATCTTTGTGCAAAGGGAGCCTGGAAGAACCATAATAAAGATTTATTAGTCCTGCTATTAGCCCACAACATTGATGAGAACTGCAAATCTTTGCCAAGAAATGTACCCAGTTTCAGAGAAATAGGCTGCACAGGATTTGAAATTAGGCTCTCGTAAAATTCTGATTTTTTTTTTTTTTAATTGTTCCCTTTGAGAAAAGTGCCTGCAAACATTGGGTAGACAGCACCAACATTTTTATCAGGCTGTCCACTGTCACCTCAAGGTGAAGTTTGGAGATAATATCATTTATCATCCAATGTTCACTACATTTAATCACATTGTATACCATTTTCCCCAGAAAGGTATCTGAGGATGGGTAAAAGGAACTTTCCAAAAAGACACAGACATAAAGACACAGTTTTCCTCTAAATTACAATGAAGTTTGTTGCTAGAGTGCTTTCCAAGTAAATAATTTGCCCTTATTTCTAATATACACCATGACTTTACCCTATCAAGCTAACTAGCTTACAGTTTCTTTATCAACTTCTTTATCAAAATAAAGATCACATTAAGTTCCAGTCCTTGGTGAGAGAAGTCAATGTAAAAGAGAAGTTGGATATTTTTTTGATGAGATCAAGAATTTTATATTTTTGATTTTTGAGAACTTTGAGGAAGATGTAGCCTGGATCCATGGATATGGACCAATTTCAGGTTGTCAGCTTAATGTCTAATTTCATCTCTCTTGAAAACTATTGATCAATGTTTACTGTAAAATGTTTATTTCTAGTGCCTGCTCTGATCCTCATCTTGGTACCCACTTCCATACCTCATTAAATCCTCTGTGCCACATAATCAGGTTTTCATTCATCAGGAGCTCTTTTCCCTCTGAAGCATCTGGGTCCAGCTTTCCCACTTTCACTCTCTGGAAAGATGTGTTTGGGAATATGACCATGTTAAGGATGTCAAATCCACTCTCTATTTCCTATTTATTATTGAAAGATGCACTTTCTCCAGCTGAGTTGTTAAATGAAATACCTTGAGGAATCGGATGGAACTAGACAAGAAGGAAACAGTGAAAACTGAAGGAGAGTACTGAAAGTACTTTATGTGTGCTTAAAATAACATATTAGAACATTTGTATGACTCTTTCAATACTTGATTTTCATATGTAATTTCTAGCAATGTGTCATATGTATGTTTCCATTTTTCCTCTAGATCATGTTGGGCCGACCATGTCATGATTAACTGGAATTAGTGTTCTGAACTAAGAAAGCCTATTGTGGGGTCAGATCATGTCCAGATCACCCTCTAGTTTGGAGGATCCACCTTCAAAAACCCATCATCCATGAAATAATGGATATGGTTTTGTCCAGAAGAGAAAAGCAGTGTTCTAGAATTGTTCCAGGACATTATTTTGTTATATGACTCCTTAAGAGGCCTCACTTAGCTCAAGAAACATAAGGATTTACATAAAAATAAATCCACTTTGCCCTGTCACAATGATAACAGAGAGAGGTGAGGTTGAAGGAAGACAAACTCAGCTTTAAAAAAGTAAAAGAAAAAAAGAAAGATTTACCCAGTGCAGTATCTACTTTTTTGTTCAGGTCATTCTGATTCTTGAAGCATAAAACAACAAATGATTCCAGGCATGGAGCTGGCCTTGCATTGGTGTGACATAACAGTCTCTTTAACAGCAGCATCCACAAGAAGAGTCCGCATTTTCCTCTCTTCAAGGAAGTAAATATTGCATCTGTGTGAGTTTCTCCTTTCGCCTCATCTTGTATCTCTGGGGGCACATGTTCACTGGCTGGCATAGGGATGGCAGCTGATATTCCAACTCAATCTTTCATCACTTCCCCATCACAGCAACCTTGAGCTCCTTCCGTTCTTTTGAGCTTTCAGGGTTCTTCTTCTGAAGAGCAACAGACAGGATCCTATACCTGCTTAGATCATGTTTTTCCATTATTCCATGGAAAAAATCTGTGCCCGCTCCCATCAAGAGAATCCTAAACGTCTGGGTTTATGTGTGTATGTGTGTGTGTGTGTGTGTGTGTGTGTGTGTGTTGTATGTATATATATATACACACACACACACACACACACACCGTACGTACGT